CAGTTTGTGTAAACCCAACAGAAACCATGTTGTCCCAAAACGCTGCGTTTGTGTCCCATATGTAACACCGTGTATTATCCAACTTATTTCACATGGTTTAACTTGAACTTTAAAAACTACAATCAAGTTTTGCTGTATTACCAGTAACAAATCTTTTATATACACATTAGCTTGTTTAAAAAAACTGACTGAATTACCTCTAAACTGGTTCTAGGCTTTGTCACACTGGTCGCACTGGTGCGTGTCCATGGTCAGTAAGTGTAGGGTTGACTTAAGCTCGAGTTTGTGTAAACTGAACTGCTGCACGTATCAGCGTCTGTTGGCGTGTTTCTGGGGTCGCTGGCTGGAGGCTTTCCCAGAAAGGTCACATGCGGCGCCAGCTTGTGTGTCGCCAAGCTCGACTTCAAAGCAAAAGCCCTCCCACACTGGTCACACTTGTGTGCTTTAACTCCACTGTGGACCAGTTTATGTCTCTTTAAGTTGCTCTGATGATTAAAAGCCTTTCCGCACTCCTCACATGTGTGGGGTTTTTCTCCGCTGTGGACCATCTCATGGATTTTTAAGTGGCTCATCGAGTAAAGCCTTCTCACCTGGTACATGCGTATGGTTTGACTCCTCTGTGCAGGCGCTGATGAGTTCTCAAGCTGCTCATCAAACTAAATGTCTTTCCGCACTCCTCACATATGTGGGGTTTTTCTCCGCTGTGGACCATCTTATGGGTTTGTAAGTGGCCCATCTGAGTAAAAGCCTTCCCACACTGGCTACATGCGTATGGTTTGACTCCTCTGTGTAGGCGCTGATGAGTTCTCAAGTTGCCCATCAAACTAAATGTCTTTCCACACTGGTGGCACATGTGTGGTTTGACGCCGCTGTGGCTGAGGTGATGTGTTTTTAGTTGCTTTTCCGAGTAAAAGTCTTTCACACTGGTCACAACTGAAGGGCTTTTCCCACTGTGGATGCGCTGGTGTCTTCTGAGGTGAGACGGGGCATGAACTTCTTGTTACACTGATCACACCTGTAGTGCTCAAGTAAGTTTGCACTTGAGTGAGCATCTTCAGCCAACTGAGAGCACTGAGGTGTTGGGCTCTCTTTGGCGTCTTGTTCCTACAGCAACAAAGACACAGGCAGGGAGTCAGAAGCTTAATAAGTGTTTGAGTTAAATCTTGTTTTGTCGTGCCGGCCTCTCTGCTTCGATAAGAAACATGTTGTTGGATGATGCCCATAATAGTAACCTGTTGTGTTGTAAATTGTTTGGATGCGTTTGGAAAAGAAAGACTGTATTATTGCATAAAATACATTTAAACAAGTGCATCGCTGATTGCATCTAGTGGACATCGGTTCTACCAGCTGATTGCCCTGCTCAGTCTTTACGCCCGACCCAACGAGGGACAATCAAATGCAGAGGGGACAGTGCGACTTCACCCGTGCACTTGCATCTCTTGCACACAGTCCTCATTTACAAAGTGCTCTGCAAATCACCCCGTCCCTGTTACAGTGCAGCGAGCCAAAAATGAACCATTTAGTCCTTGGTGTAAGACCAGGGGTGTCGAACTCCAGGCCTCGAGGGCCGGTGTCCTGCAGGTTTTAGATCTCACCCTGGGTCAGCACACCTGAATCAATTGATTAGTTCATTACCAGGAGAACTGGAAGTCATTTAACCATTTAAATCAGCTGTGTTGGAAAGAAGGAAAGGTCTAAGAGGTTGAAGCCTTCGTCTTTCCATTTACTATTTTCTTTTCTTAACATGCATTTAGTTTCTCATGTTCTGGAGAACTGTAAATAATTACTAAAGGGTGGTAGTTAACAATAATCATAATGATATAATGACAATAAATGATGATCATTCATGAAAGTTGTACTGATAGACTTTTCACGTTTCCTAAAAGCAGCTCGGCCTTGGTTTGCACGGCACTTCCAGATGTGTTTATAAACTACGAACAATTTCACGTATAAAAGTCTGTAAAATGTTCGGACTCATGATTTATAAAAACGATGTTTTTCTCACCGTGTGTGAAGAAAACATTTTCTTCTTTCCAAGATGGCCGACTACGTTCCTCCGTCAGACTGCTCGACCCACCAACACCTGCCAGGAAAGAGCTTTATTAGGCTCCGGAGCCGAAATGCACATTAAAGGCACTTTACATCCAGATGACTTAGACCATCCTAAGATAATAAACTTTTAGCCTGGTCTAGATTCTCTAGACCTCTATCATACTCACTGCCGTGTATATCCCCCCCGACGCTAATGCTAGGTTGGCCATGAAAGAACTTTCTGCAGCCATTAACAAACACCAGAATAAACACCCCGAGGCTGCTTTTATTGTTGCTGGCGACTTCAACCACACCAACTTAAAGACAGTCCTCCCCAGATTCCACCAAATGTCTCCTGCCACACCAGAGGAGACAAGACTTTAGACCATGTGTATTCCAACCTGGCTGGAGCCTACAAAGCCACACCCCTCCCCCACATTGGACAATCGGACCATCTCTCCATGTTCCTCACACCTCGGTATTCACCACTCATCCAACGTGTGAAACCTGCTGTGAGGACAATTAAAGTGTGGCCAGAGGGGACAGAGGCAGTGCTCCAGGACAGATTTAAAAACACAGACTGGAATATGTTCACCCACACAGACCTGGACCAGTACGCCTCATCTGTACTGGATTACATCTCCAAAACCACAGACAGTGTCACCACCCAGAAACGGATCACCATGTACCCCAACCAGAAGCCTTGGATGAACCGGGATGTTCGTCTCCTCCTGAAGGCCCGCAACACCGCCTTTAGGTCAGGAGATGCACACACCTACAGTACAGCCAGGGCTAATCTAAAGAAGGGCATCAAAAAAGCCAAACACCATTACAAAAAGAAGGTAGAAGAACACTTCTCCAACTCCAACCCCCGACGCATGTGGCAAGGACTCCAGACCATCACAGACTACAGGACCACCAAACCCTCCCCCGCATCCTCTGATGTCTCCTTCCTCAACGAGCTCAACAACTTTTATGCTCGTTTTGAGCGAGGGAACCCCACAACCACAACCGAAGCAGACGTGACGCCAGACCACCAACCTCTGACTCTCTCCCCCACCGATGTAGGAGCGGTGCTGAGCAGGATCAATGTCCACAAGGCTGCAGGCCCTGATGGCATCCCCAGGCGTGTTCTCAGAGCGTGTTCTGGGGAGCTTGCAGGAGTGCTCACAGACATATTCAACCTGTCCTTGGCCCACGCTGTGGTACCGGCCTGCTTCAAATCCACCTCCATCGTCCCGATACCCAAAAACTCCAACCCATCTTGCCTCAATGATTACCGCCCAGTAGCACTCACCCCCATCATCACTAAGTGCTTAGAGCGACTGGTCCTAGCACACTTCAAATCCTGTCTCCCCCCCACCCTGGACCCCCACCAATTCGCATACCGCCAGAACAGGAGCACAGAGGATGCAGTCTCCATCGCACTGCACTCTGTCCTCTCACAGACGTTGCGAGCGGAGGTAGAAGAGAGGCAGGTGGGGAGGCCTGTGGGCACGGCTAAAGACTAGTCCGTTTAAACCACCACTCCCGATCATATTCCTCTCCAACGCCCGTTCAATCCGTTACAAACTGGATGAGATACGACTGCAGATCGCCACTCGACGGACTTTTAATAACTGTTCGTGCATGATTTTCACTGAAACCTGGCTGGACAGCGCCATTCCCGATGCGGCTATTGATCTAGCAGGCCGCACCGCCTATCGAGCCGACAGGTCTGCGGACTCGGGTAAGAAGACTGGCGGGGGGCTGTGCATCTATATTAACAACTTTTGGTGCACGAACGTCACGGTAACGGAAAGACTGCAGTACAGAGGTAGAACTGTTGGTGTTAAAGTGCCGTCCATTCTATCTCCCTCGGGAATTTTCTGCCGTTTACATCTGCGCTGTTTACATTCCACCAGATGCTAATGCTAAGCTAGCGTTAGCACAATTGAGCAGCAGCATCAATAACAGCCTGGTAGCACACCCGGACAGTGTCTTTATTGCGGCTGGGGATTTTAACCACGCGGACCTGAAATCTGTACTTCACAATTTCCACCGTAATGTGAAGTGTGCTACCAGAGGAGATAGAACGTTGGACCAGGTGTACACCAACATGGCGAATGCGTACAGAGCCCAGGCTCATCCCCACCTGGGTCTGTCAGACCATCTCTCCCTTCTGCTACACCCAATATACACACAAAAGATCAAGAGCACTGGGATTACAACCAAAACCGTGAGAACATGGCCGCAGGATGCTATTCCGATGCTTCAGGACTGTTTCCACTGCACAGACTGGGAGGTATTCAAGGTGCAGGACACTGACAATCGTGTCGCATTGGACAGTTACACCTCCACTGTCTTGGACTACATCTGTTTCTGTGTGGACAATGTAACAACTTGGAAACGATTCCGTGTGTTCCCTAATAATCCACCCTGGATGACACACGGAGTTCAACAACTTATTCGAACAAGGAACAACGCTTTCAAATCCGGGGACCAGGAGGCATACAGTGCTGCCAGGGCCAACCTGAGAAGAGGCATCAAGACTGCCAAGCAGCAGCACAGGAGGCGTATCGAGGCCAGGTTTGAGAACAACACAAACCCAAGGCAGGTCTGGGAGGGCATCAGGGCTATCACGGACTACAAAAGAAGAACACCATCACCCTCAGCCGACAGTTCTACTCTGGCTGAGGATCTAAATCTCTTTTATGCCCGTTTTGACAGGGAGAACACCGACCCTGTCCTGTCCCCTCTCCCCTCAACCGACCCTGCTCCGGTCCTGAGCACTCATGAGCTGAGGCGTGTGTTCCGGAGCATTAACACCAGGAAGGTGGCCGGGCCAGATGGAGTGCTGGGCCGGGTGCTAAAAGACTGTGCTGCGGACCTGGCGGACGTCTTCACCTCTATATATAACACCTCGTTGTCCTGTTCACTGGTACCATCCTGTTTCAAAGCAGCAACCATCGTTCCCATCCCAAAACAGTCAAATGTCACATGTCTGAACGATTTCAGACCTGTGGCACTCACCCCCATTCCCGCCAAATGCCTGGAGAGACTGGTCATTAAACACATCAGAGCTGCTTTTCCACCATCCCTGGACTCGCACCAGTTTGCATACAGGGAGAACCGGTCAACCGAGGATGCGATCGCCACAGTGCTGCACACATTACTAAAGCACTTGGAACACAGGAACACCTATGCACGGCTCCTCTTTGTAGACTACAGCTCGGCTTTTAATACCATCCGGCCATACAAACTCCGTCCCAAACTCCACCAACTGGGACTTAACTCCTCTCTGTGCAACTGGATTGTGGACTTCCTCACTAACCGTAGACAGAGTGTCAGAGTGGGTAAGAACACCTCTTCCACCCTTGTGGTCAACACCGGTGCCCCTCAGGGGTGTGTTCTGAGCCCTCTGCTATACACTCTCTTCACCCATGACTGTATTTCCTCCTGCGCGTCCAATCTCATTGTTAAGTTTGCAGATGACACTACAGTGCTCGGACTTATATCCAACAATGATGAGACAAACTATAGGACAGAGGTGCAACAACTAGAGTCATGGTGCCACGACAATAACTTGGTCTTAAACACCAAAAAGACCAAGGAGACCATTGTAGATTTCCGGAAGAGGGGTCATAACAACCATCTGCCTCTCTTCATTGGCAGTGAGGCGGTGGAGAGGGTGAGCAGTTTTAAATTCTTGGGGGTAACTGTGACCGAGGACCTGTCCTGGGGCAACCATATCACCTCAGTTGTACGGAAGGCCCAACAGCGCCTCTACTACCTGAGGAGACTGCGGAGCGCACACATTCCCAGATCTCTGATGTTGAACTTCTACAACTGTGCCATCAGCAGCGTTCTGACGTATGGATTTCTAGTGTGGTTCCCCAGCTGCACTAAGGCCGATCAGCAAGCACTCCAGCGGGTGGTGAAAGAAGCTGGCAGAATTATTGGAACAAGTCTGCCAGAGATCAGTAATATCTTCCCCACTCGCTGTCTGAGGAGGGTGCACAGTATCCTGCGGGACCAACATCACCCTGCGCGCCACCTTTTCCATCTGCTGCCGTCAGGGAGAAGGTACAGGTCTATACAGGCCAGAACATCCAGACTGGCCAACAGCCTGTATCCACAGGCTGTGAGGCTCCTGAACTCTCTGCCCCCCTCTCACGGACAATAACCATATCCAACTTCTTAATAGCAATGAACTGGTCTGCATTGGTGCATCATATCTTTATTCTCTTCCCCCTCCTGCCCCCCCCCCCCTCTTTCTTAAATAGATAACTATCATATCTGATATCATATCTCACAGTACAATAATATTGAATGGGTGCATTGTTGTATTTTGTCATGTTTCTCAGGTCTTTGTCTGAATTTCTACGAACATTATTGCTAAGGATTGTCTTATTGCATTGGAGTCACACTGGGTTAAATATGTACACTTGGGTTTTAACCCTTTAAGACCTACCATAGAACCAAGTCCGCCAGAGCTTATATTATATTTTTACATGCTGTGGAGCCATTTTTGGGAGCATTTCAAGTTGCTATACATCAATACAACCATTATAGCCCAAACTTTAATAATATGTCTGCATTAAGTGCATAGTAATTACATAAATTGCAAAAAAGTGCAATAAACTACAAAAAAATTGAAAATCGGTTTTGTTTTTTTAACATATATTTCTAGTTAGAGAAATTTAAGAGGCTCATCCCTCAAAACTGTAAATACAAAAAAGTTGCACAAACTAGTTTCCCACCACAGGAAATTTATTTTGAGTGTCTTCATAGTTTTATTTTTGAAATACACCAATTTTTATATACTGCAGGAAAAACGAAAATAAATATTATAGTGCAAATTTGCAAAATAACAGCATGTGCATCAAAATAAACTATTTCCAGCAGTGCAATATGAGTCCTAAGCATCCCAGAAACGACACAGAAAGTCATAAACTCAAACATAACTTTTTAAAACAAGTATAGGCTCATAAGGCCCCGATCGTAAAAAAAACTACATTTCCGCAAAATGACGTCACTTCCGGTTTCGGGCAGGTCATGTGGTCATGTGATAGTTCGCGCTGATGGACATAGGAAGTATTACAAACAGCTGATCGGATCGGCGAAGCGTGTTTCTGGAATATCATGTTTTTGTTGCTGCAAGTGATTTTTATGCAGTTTTTGCAAAGCTATATGTGGAAGGAAACTGTGACCTAGGACAAGCTGATGGCATAAGATGTAAGTACAACTCCTCCGGTTTCATATGCAAAAAAAATTATTGCGCTAGCTTACGTGGTTGCAGTGCTACCGGGATATAAAAATAGTTACGCAAAATGGAGCGTGCCCGCTCCGATCGGCTGTAAAGGGTTAAGGGGTATTTATTATTTTCTTCTTTTTTTGGGTTGTATGGAAGCCCCAAACGCAATTTCATTGTCTTGACAATGACAATAAATAAATACTACTACTATACTACTACTACACCTGGACAACAACACCACCTACGCCAGAATGCTGTTTATAGACTTCAGTTCAGCATTCAATACAATCCACCCCTCACAACTCATCAGGAAACTGACAGACCTGGGCATCAGTTCCCTCATCTGCAAATGGTTACTGGACTTCCTGACCAACCGCCCCCAACATGTCCGGCTGGATAACCGCTGCTCATCTACCATCACAATGAACACCGGTGTACCACAAGGCTGCGTGATGAGCCCTTTCCTCTACTCCCTCTTCACCCACGACTGCAGACCTGCTGATGGTTCCAACACCATCATTAAGTTTGCAGATGACACCACGGTGATTGGCCTCATCAGTGACAACGATGAGGCCGCCTACAGGGAGGAGGTGGATCGTCTGGCTGAGTGGTGTGACAGAAACAACCTGCTGCTTAACACCGAGAAGACCAAGGAGCTCATCGTGGACTACAGGAGGAATGCTGACCCACATCCACCCATCCACATTAAGGGGACGGCTGTGGAGCGTGTGAGCAGCTTCAAGTTCCTGGGAGTCCACATCTCCGAGGATCTCATCTGGACGACCAACTGCTCCAAGCTGGTCAAGAAGGCTCACCAGCGCCTCTTCTTCTTGAGGACTCTGAGGAAGAACCACCTGTCCTCAGACATCCTGGTGAACTTCTATCGTTGCACCATCGAGAGCATCCTGACCAACTGTATAACAGTCTGGTACGGGAACTGCTCTGCCTCGGACCGGAAGGCGTTGCAGAGGGTCGTGAAAACTGCCCAGCGCATCGCCGGAGCACCACTTCCTGCCATAAAAGACATCTACAGGAAGCGGTGTCTGAAAAGGGCTGGGAAAATCATCAAAGACCCCATTCACCCATCACATGGACTCTTCACCCTCCTGCCCTCTGGGAGGCGCCACAGGAGCCTCCGGACTAAGACCACCAGGTACCGGAACAGCTTCTTCCCCACAGCTGTCAGACTCCTGAACTCTGCCTCCTGACATCTGATCCACGTTAAACTCATGGACTGAACATACACACACCCACAATGGACAACTGTACCCTCAAACACACAATAATAACATGGACTGAACCACCACTCACAACCACTAGCACTTTATACAGCCTCTGTAGAAACTATCTACACCCTCACTTATCTTAACTGCACTACTGTATAGCTCTGTGTAAACAATCATTCTGTACATACGATAATTTTTAACCCTACAACTGTTTACAGCTTGCATAGTTCCCATTTCTGTATAGCTGTATATCTCAGATTCTGTAAAGTTATTTATTTCATATTCTGTATAGTTTTTCATATTTATATCCTGTTCATAGCCTGTACATAGCTTGTACTCACTACAGCCTGTACATACTTATAGTTATAGAATATTCACAACATACCTCATACCGTGTACATTATAACATACCATAATAGACCCATTTCTGTAATATACTTACATATCTATATTATTGCTAATATATATTGTAATATATCTATGTCACTAAAGCACTTCTGGATGGATGCAAACTGCATTTCGTTGCCCTGTACCTGTGCATGTGCAATGACAATAAAGTTGCATTCTATTCTATTCTATTCTATTAAACTGAGCTGATGGCAAGACGGAGGATCAGAGGACTTGAAGCTTTAAATAATCCCTCAAGGAGACAGGTCTAACCTTTCCTTTGAAATATCTCTGAGGTAGCATGGACAACATACACGTGCAGATGAGAAATGACACCCTGATTCAATCATTCCCTCTCTGTAAACACTTTAACTGGGAAGCCAAGCTAAAGGTTAAATGATCAGCGGCTGTAGGTTTAGCTGTGCTCGTATGCCCGGACAATCCAAATATATAAATAAAGAACTGCACACAAACACAATTACACTACTTGATCTGTTACAATCGAGCGACATTACTTGTCAGCATCTGGAATCATGGAACTCTTTGGTCACGGTGAAGGAACAGTGTGCAGGGCTGTTTTTAAAATGAGGTTTTTCACCAAGCATCCTGATGGGCTCTTCCCAAGAGTTAGTGGACAGATAGTTGGAGGTCATGTTCCCAACAAGCAGCAACTGGTGCCGAGGATGAAAGGAACCATGAATGTGCTCAAAGCTAGATTGCGAAACCGCGATATCAGAAACACATCCTGCATGTGCTGAACTTGCTTTCTAGCAAAGCACCCTGGTTTGCAGTGTCCCAGGTGTAGGCCAGCACTGAGGATTGTTCTCCAGTCACTGTACACACAGTTTAAGGGAGGACAGCAGTTCCTACTTTGAAGGTAAACCTTAAATGATCAGCAGCCATGAGTTTAGTTGTGCTCGTACAAGTTATTGTCTCCAGTGTCTCTGCGGGTCCCTAACACTCCCTCATAAACACACCTGAGCTGGGAACATACCTGAGGGAGAGCAGCAGATGACAGCATGCAGGAGACAACAAACTAATCTAAACATATAAAACAACTCCAACCAACATCAGCTTGGTAGTTACCTTTGGAGGAGCCCAGCCCATGAGCTGTGCTGTGATGACTTATGGTGAACAGGTGTGCCAACAACTAAGAGCCGAGACAGAGCCTCTTAAAGCTGTAGGACAAAAAACAGCACGTCCAGAGCACCTGAAGGCCAGAAGGTGGCAGCAGCAAACGGGTGTCAGGTACAATCTTCAGCTTCCATAGTATCTACAGATCATACACTCCTCCCTTTGCTCAGTGTTTTCACCTTCAGCACATAAATAGGCATGCACACAGCACAGATAACAAGCAACTGTGTACGGCTCTTCAAAAAGCTGGTTCTCTGATGATCCGACTCTCCATGTAAACAGAGCTTTTCATGTTATGCTACATTTTGAATTTGATTAGATGCAGAGCGTTCAAACTCAGCTTTAATGTCACTTTAAAGTGAAAATCCAAGGCACAGATGTACGGGCCTGTTGCCTTGACTCCCCTCTCCTCGTGGTACCTCCTATAGAATAGAATAGAATAGAATAGAATAGAATTCAACTTTATTGTCATTGCACATGCACAGGTACAGGGCAACGAAATGCAGTTTGCATCCATCCAGAAGTGCTTTAGTGACATAGATATATTACAATATATATTAGCAATAATATAGATATGAGTATATTACAGAAATGGGTCTATTATGGTATGTTATAATGTACACGGTATGAGGTATGTTGTGAATATTCTATAACTATAAGTATGTACAGGCTGTAGTGAGTACAAGCTATGTACAGGATATGAACAGGATATAAATATGAAAAACTAAACAGAATATGAAATAAATAACTTTACAGAATCTGAGATATACAGCTATACAGAAATGGGAACTATGCAAGTTGTAAACAGTTGTAGGGTTAAAAATTATCGTATGTACAGAATGATTATTTACACAGAGCTATACAGTAGTGCAGTTAAGATAAGTGAGGGTGTAGATAGTTTCTACAGAGGCTATATAAAGTGCTAGTGGTTGTGAGTGGTGGTTCAGTCCATGTTATTATTGTGTGTTTGAGGGTACAGTTGTCCATTGTGGGTGTGTGTATGTTCAGTCCATGAGTTTAACGTGGGTCAGATGTCAGGAGGCAGAGTTCAGGAGTCTGACAGCTGTGGGGAAGAAGCTGTTCCGGTACCTGGTGGTCTTAGTCCGGAGGCTCCTGTGGCGCCTCCCAGAGGGCAGGAGGGTGAAGAGTCCATGTGATGGGTGACTGGGGTCTTTGATGATTTTCCCAGCCCTTTTCAGACACCGCTTCCTGTAGATGTCTTTTATGGCAGGAAGTGGTGCTCCGGCGATGCGCTGGGCAGTTTTCACGACCCTCTGCAACGCCTTCCGGTCCGAGGCAGAGCAGTTCCCGTACCAGACTGTTATACAGTTGGTCAGGATGCTCTCGATGGTGCAGCGATAGAAGTTCACCAGGATGTCTGAGGACAGGTGGTTCTTCCTCAGAGTCCTCAAGAAGAAGAGGCGCTGGTGAGCCTTCTTGACCAGCTTGGAGCAGTTGGTCGTCCAGGTGAGATCCTCGGAGATGTGGACTCCCAGGAACTTGAAGCTGCTCACACGCTCCACAGCCGTCCCCTTAATGTGGATGGGTGGATGTGGGTCAGCATTCCTCCTGTAGTCCACGATGAGCTCCTTGGTCTTCTCGGTGTTATGCAGCAGGTTGTTTCTGTCACACCACTCAGCCAGACGATCCACCTCCTCCCTGAAGGCGGCCTCATCGTTGTCACTGATGAGGCCAATCACCGTGGTGTCATCTGCAAACTTAATGATGGTGTTGGAACCATCAGCAGGTCTGCAGTCGTGGGTGAAGAAGGAGTAGAGGAAAGGGCTCATCACGCAGCCTTGTGGTACACCGGTGTTCATTGTAATTGTAGACGAGCAGCGGTTATCAAGACGGACATGTTGGGGGCGGTTGGTCAGGAAGTCCAGTAACCATTTGCAGATTAGGGAACTGATGCCCAGGTCTGTCAGTTTCCTGATGAGTTGTGAGGGGTGGATTGTATTGAATGCTGAACTGAAGTCTATAAACAGCATTCTGGCGTAGGTGTTGTTGTTGTCCAGGTGTGAGAGGACAGAGTGCAGTGCGATGGAGACTGCATCCTCTGTGCTCCTGTTCTGGTGGTATGCGAATTGGTGGGGGTCCAGGGTGGGGGGGAGACAGGATTTGAAGTGTGCTAGGACCAGCTGCTCTAAGCACTTAGTGATGATGGGGGTGAGTGCTACTGGGCGGTAGTCATTGAGGCAAGATGGGTTGGAGTTTTTGGGTATCGGGACGGTGGAGGTGGATTTGAAGCAGGCCGGTAGCACAGCGTGGGCCAAGGACAGACTGAATATGTCTGTCAGCACTCCTGCAAGCTCCCCAGAACACGCTCTGAGAACACGCCCGGGGATGCCATCAGGGCCTGCAGCCTTGTGGACACTGATCCTGCTCAGCACCGCTCCTACATCGGTGGGGGAGAGAGTCAGAGGTTGGTGGTCTGGCGTCACGTCTGCTTTGGTTGTGGTTGTGGGGTTCCCTCGCTCAAAACGAGCATAAAAGTTGTTGAGCTCTATGCCTGCATCACTGGTGGGAGGGGCTAAACTAATAAGAAACAAGACTAATTTCACTTTTACGGTTTCACGTCCTGAAATCAAACCAACTTAAGAACACTTTCTGTGCACATAAGTACAGTATATCATCTGTGAGTGGAAATACTGATGTCTGTGGGTTTTTTTTACTTTCCACCGCTACACTGATGGTAGACGATGAGTTTGACTGCCAGCACTTCAACTTCATCAAATCTGTATAATTAATGTGTGTTCCTCAAACATGAGGAGCTACAAGTCAGAGAGCTTTACTGTTTCACTGACCATCAGTACAAACTGAAGTTATAAACAGGATTTTATTTTTAACCTATGGAAAAACACTGGAAGATCATTACATGTGACATGTTGTAGCTACATTGCACCGCCTAAACACGAAAGAAGCCAAGTCGTTCCAAAATGTTGCATCGTGTCATAATACATGATGTTCAGATGTTAACACACGATCCAATAGTACAACTCAACCAAATTTTAAACACTGCTAAAAATACAGCTTTACTGCAGTACTATATGTACAGATGTGTTGATTCCATGCAACAACAACAACAACAACAACAACAAAAGAAAAAAAAATACAGTGAATACAAAAAATATACAATTTAAGATTCAAAAAGTTACCGTAGTATCAGATTTCTTTCAACTATAAATACTAAACTGCTGGGGGGGAGGGGGGGGGGGCACTTTTTCCTATAAGCAGCTAATCAATTACTTAAGAGAAGCAGTCAGTTTAATAAGCAGTTAAAAGCAGTTTTAGCTTTCACTTGGTGATCTGATTACTTTCTGGATGTTTTACTACTGGTCAGGTTCAATTGATGGGAGATCTGAATGCGCACCTCAATCAGTGGGACATTAAAACTGTTCAAAGTTAGAAACGCAAGTGACCAAATGTTCACTGTGACACTTTAGAAATTACAGATACTGCAGATCACAGAAAAGAAAAGAAGACATTTGAGTTCTAGGAACCCCCAACTCCCGGTTTTTCCTGTCTGTGGGTGACTCCATGGACTTTTAATGAGCCTCTGAGGAGAAACATCTTCCAAGTTCTTCTCAGTACTTCAGTTGGGGCCCGCTGTGAAGAAGCCGGTAAAGAACAGTGGCTACTACAGCGCTGCATGCATCTGCTTCAGTCTGCAACTAAAACAAAGACAAAGTACGTTAGGGTTGTCTGTCATTTTATGCTGGGAATAGTTCACTGGTGACACAGAGTCTAAGACAAGAGGTTAAATTCCTGGTACTCTCCCACTTTACTTAACTTCTAGGATGAGAGGTCAAATTGGCTTCATTTCAAAAACAACCGTGACCTGGACGCAGACATTACAACACATTAGAGCACTTCGCTCTCACACTGGAGGCCTACTTGTTGTTCGTGGAGTATTTAAAAGTAGAATGGGAGGCAGAGCCTTCAGTTTTCAGGCCCCTGTGCAATCAGCGCCCAGTTTGGATTTGGGAGACAGGCACCCTCTCTACTTTTAAGATCACACTTAAAACTTGAGAAGAAGAACAAAAACAGGGCCCCAGCTGAAGAGCTAACTAGTGGTAGTAAAAACAACACCTTCGCTCAGAGCCACTGGCAGCACACGGAGTTTAAAGTAGGTTCATGAGACAATCCAGTGTCATGGCAGCTTTGGAAAATGTGAATAAGGTCATAAACTGTGTTTAACAGATCTCCTCTATGATACGTATTACAGAAGCACGATGCAAGAGCAAAGAGTGGGACTTTACTGAAGGAGGGGAACAAAGAAAATCATCTCAGCAAGCCACACAATTTGAGGGGAGCTGTCCAACAGCCAAAATTAGTCTGGCAGAAAAGACAGTTTTGAAGAGTATGCAGTGGCTGCGTAACCTTTATCCTGTGTGGAGCTCTTTGCAGCGGTTTAATCACACTTTTCAGATTTGAATGGTCTCTAAACTGGTTTTATGCTTTCCCCACACTGGTCACAGGACCATCTTAATCTGTGTGTGTTCTTCTAGCGTTGCTGGCTGGCTAAGAGTCTGTCCACAAAAGGTCACAGCAAAATGTCTTACTCCCAGAGTGGGACAGCTGATGTCTCCTCAAGCTTGGCAGCCAGGTAAAAGCCAGCCCGCACTCGTCACAGACGTGTGGTTTAATTCCACTGTGGAGGAGTCGATGCCTTTCCAAGATGCTCATCTGATTGAAAGTCTTCCCACACTGCTCACACGTGTACGGTCTGAGCCCACTGTGGATGACTCGATGCCTTTTTAAGCTGCTGCTCCGACAAAAAGAAGTCCCGCACTCGTCACAGCGATACAGTTTTACATCTGCGTGGATCCGTTTGTGTACTGTGAGGCGACTCTTGGTAGCAAAAGTCCTTTCACACTGATCGCAAGTGTGGGATTCATCTCCGCTGGTCGTTGGGCGAGCATCCTCGGCCTCCTGAGAGCATTCCCCGCCCGGGTCTGTTTGTCCCTATAGCGACAAAGACACAGCTGTCATGGAGCAAGCTTAATGAGTTAAACCATGTGCAGACGTGTTAGTGCCTCCATAGGATTTAAGTTCTACTGAAAATGTTTTATTCTTGTTGCGTGCTGTGCAAAGAGCGAGCCAAGTATGCTGTTTGTCTGTTACTTAATCACGTCTTTGTGTTGCTGTCTCACCATTTGTAAATAAGCCATTTTTTGCCTTCTTCAGTGGCTGAGCTGGACTAAGATGGCCGACAGCGTTCCTCTGCTCTTCCGTCGCACTCTTTTCACCTCCCAACACCTGTGGAAAAACTGATTTTAATTGGGCCAGTTTCACAGACAAGGCTTGAGCCTAGTCCCAGACTAAAACGCACATTACCGACATTTTACAAAGATTTAGTCTGTTCTGGATTAAATCAAGATGACTGCAAGATGTAGGATTAAAAACCAGTAAGGACAGCGCCACTGAGCAGGGAAGTCACTCGGATCAGTGAGGAAATGCTACGTCCTGATGAAGAGGATCAGCTTTCTGGGACTCCCTTACCTTGATGATTGCGCGTGCCAGGAGGCAGCTTTAACATTTCTTTCCCCACATTCGTTGTCAGTGTGGACAACATACGATATCTAAGTGAACTGCACAGAAACCGAAAGAGTCCCGCCGCACAAATACTGGATTTGTTAACTGAACTAATGTTTTGATTAAAAGCTTCTCAGCATCTGGAATTCTACGATTCTACGATCTTCAGAAGAGCTGGACGTCATGTCCCTGACAAGCATCAAGATGCTGATGCTGAGGATGTAGGAGGCGAAGAACTGGATTAAATTTGACTTCCCGGTTGTGTGCAATCACTAAATTAAAAAGGCAGACACTTGCGTGTTGGCAAGGTCCGACTCAACTTCAGGATTTTGCACACAAGCAAGAAAAACAGCAGATGAGTCACAGCAACTCCATATATTCAGACAAACAACATGTTTGCAACGTAGTGATGGTGACTCTCTGCAGTTACAAAACATAGCTCACAGTCTGCTTTATTAATTCTGTCATTGCAGCTGCTGCTGTACTGGATACAGCTGAACTGTGTGGTTCCCATCACACTGACCTGTCTTTCTCATTTCTCACTCAGGAAATCCACAGATCCCCGAGTGTGAACTTCAACTGCTGTTACAGAGGTCTTATCTTCTTCACGACATCCCTCTGACTTCTTCTCTTATTATTTAGAAAGCATTCATTAACTTCAGGATCTGGCATTAACCATGATGGCAAACAAGGAGACTACCATGCAGTCATAGTAAAGCTGTGAGTTGATTCTGTGGTCTTTTCTCCAAAGACACCTGAGCTACAAATATTCAAGAGGTAAACTAATCTAAACATGCAAAAGAACTCCAGCAAATGTAAACTGGGTGTTTACCTTAGAAGGAGCTCAGGCCCACCAACTCAGAGAAGCTCTGCTGTGAAGCAGCTTCAAATCCCAGAGAGATCTTTGGTGGATGAACTGCTGTGCTCACTGATGATTATGGAGAACAGGTGTGCCAACAGGTTAGCACCGTGAAGGAGCCTCTTAAAGGAGCTACGTTAAAAACCTGGAGAAAACAGTCAGAACATGCAAGTACACAGAACTGAAACAGTAAACTAAAAACTCAGTCCCCTTGAGGCTAATATGTGGAAACAGGAAATAGTTGTCAGCACTGAAGCTCCAGCTATAAATGATGTAAATCACTGGAGAAATACCAGCTTTCTGGGTTTTAATGTCAAAAGGTCATTAATGGCTCTATAAACCTGGATTGACCTGACTGATCTAGGCTCTAAGGATCTAGGCTCCCTCCTTCTTTACCAGACATTCAAATTACTTTGTAATCTCTTGAGTAGCATCTCCATGATGAGCAGACAGGCAATTAAAAGTCTTGATATTGCTAATCTAAGACTGCCATACAAACGTTAACATAATAACCATTCCTCCCAGTAACCATTCCTCGCAGGTGCTCAGGGACCTTGTGGGTTAGAGTTCTGGTTTCAGCCAGATCATATACTGGAAACTCCAAAGTGCTGTGACATGAAATCCTTATTTGAGCAAATGTTTTCCATGAGGGTTATAAACATGCAGAATTCCTCACCAGTAGAACTCAAACTGGACCCAGACGGTTTCACTTTGAATGAATTATTATTGCTGCATCTGTGTCTATACATTGATGTGTTTGACTTTTGTGTTTTTAATGTACATTTTACAGATAATGTATGTTATTGACATGTCTTTGTTTAAAAGCCCAACTAGGAGACAACAGTGCAAACGACCTTTGAATCTAAATGCTTGAAATGGTTGCAGTAACATTCTGATCACTATAATAAAAGTAAAACATACATAAAAATAAAAGGAGACATACAACTGCAGTCCTTGTGTCTTTCTGACTAATTATTTAATCTGACTTGGTTTTCGTGCTGCTGCAGTACCAGCAGATAACCACCAGAGGGCGCGCTGACATTATGTGACCGACTGAATGTGCACGTGGCCATTTTTCATTTCTGTCTTTTAGATGGGTTTCTGACTGTTTTTTTAAAGTCCACTTGTTTTTGTTGATGATAGTCAAATTTCTCTCTGACCCTGCTTCTGCTGGAGGCTTCTTCCTGTTAAGGGGGATTTTTTCCTTCGCACTGTCGCCAAGTGCTTGCTTAAAGGAGCCTTACATCACCAAGCACAACCTAAAGCGTCAGCTGCAGTGGTGTAAAGCACACCCCTGGACTCTAGAGCAGTGAAGACCTGTTCTCTGGAATAACCAATCACACTTCTGAGTCTGGCAATCTGATGGATAAGTCTGGGTTTGGCGGTTGCCGTTTGGTGGAGGGGAATTACGGTGTGCAGTTGTTTTTCAGGACCTGGGCTCGGCCCCTTTGTTCCAGTGAGAGGAACTCTTAATGCTTCAGCATACCAAAACATTTTTGGACAATTTCATACCCCCAACTTAGTGGGAACAGTTTGGAGATGGTCCCTTCTTGTTCCAACATGACTACGAACCAGTTCATATCAACAAATGTATTTTGTTTGGGGCATGAAATCATCATCAGTGAATCGGGGCTATACAGACCTTACCTTGGCTTTATCGCTTTATTGACTTTGACAACATGTCCACTCTTACCGGTTTCTTTTTTCTTACTCTCCTAACTTTAACTTGATAACATTTCAGGTTAAGTGTGTTTTGAATCTGCACGGTGATATGTGTCATGAAATGAACTCCTCCCCTTCATTCAGCCAGAGCAAGTCTTATTTATCAATGATAAGCAGCGCCTCTGTGCTGTGCCATACTGCAAATGTTCGCGCCGGTCTGATAGCAAGTAAATACAGGGCCAGTACTGCCGATAGTACTGATACTTCAGAAAACATTTTAATGTCCAGTAAACCACTGTTGTCTTTACTTTCCGCAATAATTTGTTAATACAACGAAAACACAAATGAATCTGTATGTTTTTAAGATAAAAAAACAAACAAACAAACTGAATTTAATTCATTTTTTTTCTCATCCCATTTCTTTATGGAGGAGTCACTCCTGTAGAACACACTTCTGTCCAGCAGGTGGCGACAAATCGCCAACGGACTGAACAGAACAAGGAAACGCCTTAGAAGTGACGTCACTCGTGTAGCAGCCACAAACAGGAAGAAAACATCCAGCTGTTATCAAAGCACGGAGAGCTCTGGTTAGCGTAGCAACCCTTGTAGCAGTGGCTCCGTAATGAAACGGCTTTGAGAGTCGGGAATAAACCAGTGCTTTATCATGCTGTGTCCGCAGTGGTGACTGTATCGAGTGACACTCAAGGAATTTAATTGTGTTCGGCTTTCCTCCGGTCCGAGTGTAGAAACAAGGTACGTTAGCTTAGCATCAGAGCGCTAGCTAGCGGCAGCTAACACTAGCCTGTGTGCTGTACGCTGAAATGTGGTTAAACCTGCGGACACAAGAGTGACACTGTTGATACCAGTGGCAGCATGCTCCGTTTCTGCCGGGATGTTACGTAAATAAAGAAATAACATCACTGTTTTCGTATTTACAAGAACTTGAGAGGTTTGTGTACACGACTGCTAATGGTCACTTCACTTTTTATGGGCAACCTTATTTGATGCCTATTACATATTTGCGTTTAATTTTCTGGGGTTTTTTACGTCATAATTGCGTTTCATTCTGCTGGTCCGTTTAAATGTGTGTCATTCTAACCTTTATAAATGTCAGTAATGCGTGTTAATTGTGCGAGGGCTTACCTGACTTCTCTTTGTTATCTAGAACTGCACAATAGCAGAGGTCTGCATGCTTCAGTGTTAGTCAGTACCTTGTACTTAATTGTAAAGGGTGTTGTTGTTTTTTAGTCTGCTTTTGCAGTCTCACCATCTCTCCTGTGCACTCTGTTGGAACCTGCAGGTGTGAATGAGTGACGTGGTGCCTCCCACAGCCCTCAGTGAAGTCCAGCTCCGCTTCCTTTGCCACGATGACATAGAGAACGTTAAGCTGCTCTGTGGTGATTGGTTCCCAATCGAGTAAGTTATCATACTGAGAGTGTCATTGGCCGAGATTTGTGTGTATAGGAACTGTCTTTGTTTCATTGTTATTGACTGGCATAAATGGACTCCTGTTAACTGAATGCCCAGTGAGCTAACAAGTAGCGGCCCATAAGTTAAGCAGACCTTCTGGAGTCTGAGTAATAGTCTGATATGAGACCTGTCTGACGTTTGGTTCCAGGTACCCAGACTCATGGTATCAGGACATCACCTCCAACAAGAAGTTCTTCTCCCTCGCTGCCACCTACAGAGGAGGCATCGTGGGAATGATTGTGGCCGAGATCAAAGGTCGGACCAAAGTACACAAAGAGGTAAGAGGTTCAGTTTGGATGTGCCATCTCTCGCTCAGAAAGTGTAACATGTTGTCAGTCCAGTCAAAGGTGCAGTATAATATTTTTAATGTTTTGCAGCAGCAGCTAGAAAGAGACACGTTCTTAATGTGGATTTCCTCCAAAATATGACATTGTGTTCTCTGGACATAGTGTCACTGAGTGTGTGAATGTCTGCTGCTGCTTAGAGATGTCATAAGTAGATCACTGACATAGTCGACTGTTTTCAGTGCACTGCTTTGGCAAAAAGGATACCTTTGGTAAAGATAGGTTCATTAGCCCGAAATATAGGAGAAGAGGGTAATGAGAAAGAAACTGATGAAAGAAGAGCTGTAACTTGTGGTCTTTTTTTGATTTTGTGTAAACGAAGTGCAATGGATTTGATTTTGCTTTGATCGGGATCAATGTTATCTTGTTTGAATGAGTTTAGACTATAAGCTCCAAACTTGAATGTGCAGTATGCAAATTTCTGGCATGTTTTCAATGTGATATTTCCAACATCTGAGAAATCGGTACGATTAACTTAAGATAACAAAGCTTGAAGAAGTGTCGTTTTTATTCTGTCACCCACTGTGGACGTTGAAATAATCAACTTGTGTATATGTCTGTTTCTTTCTATGTATGCGTGTTAGGATGGAGACATCCTGGCCTCCAGTTTCCCCGTGGACACACAGGTAGCCTACATCCTCAGCCTGGGAGTGGTCAAAGAGTTCAGGAAACATGGCATAGGTAAACAGACACACTGTTTGCAGTTGTGGCTAAAACCAAAGGCTTTATGTACAAGACAAACACAGCCTCTAGGTCTGAAATGTGAAGCCAGGGCACGAGTGCCTTAAACCTGATGGTCAGAAAATGCAATGAATAATTTCCCTTTAAACTAATCTGGGGTTATACAACCTCCATGCCATTTAGGCTGAGGAAGTCCAGTTTATACAATTTTATTTGTGTTTTGTTACATTTTAACATTTTTTGGCTTACTAGCTTTTTTTTAACGTGTACTAGAACAGTCCTCTTTTTTTTTTTTTTCTTCTTTATCTTCTTTCACCACCACTAGCCACAGCAGATGGCTCCGCCCCTTCCTGAAGCTTCTGCTGGAGGTCTCTTCCTGTTAAAAGGGAGTTTTTCCTTCCCACAGTCATAGATGGTGCTTATGGGGGATTATCAGATTGTTGGATTTGGGTCTTTTCCTTACAATATAAAGCCACCTCAGGTGACTGTTATGAGTTGGCACTATATAAATTACATTTAATTGAATTGAAAAGTACGTAAAGAAAACACATCCAGTAACATCTCGAAGTCACAACACCAAGATGAGGCAAAAACTGTTCAGAACTAATTTAACACCCTTTATTCAGTTAGCAAGAATCTGAACGAATCGCGGGTTAGACACTGTCTCATCAAAGACATTAATGATTTGATCTGTTGAGTCACATGTTGGAACTACGCTCAAAACTCATCTGCTGTGAGACTTGATGTAGATTTGATGTTGCAGTACATTAATATTGATTGAAACGATTCAGGCTCACTGCTGCTGGACAGTTTGAAGGAGCACATATCGACGACAGCCCAGGACCACTGTAAGGCAATCTACCTACACGTTCTCACCACGAACAACACTGCCATCAACTTCTACGAGAACAGGGACTTCAGGCAGCACCACTACCTACCCTACTACTACTCCATCCGAG